CTTTGTTTCTTGAAGTAAATTCCTGGGCTAAAAATAGCATGCAGGAGATGAGTCTCTACTGCCCGAATACCACCCTGAACCTTTTCCCATCCTAATCCAACTTCACTTAAGCTGGCACGTCCAAGTAAACTGTGGTTCGGCATGCGCAGTATATATCCAAGCCATCACAGTTAACCAAGGTTCACAACCTCACTAATCGATTTGCTTAGTACCCTTCACCTTCACGGTCATGTCTCACAGTCATACAACAGGATAGAAGGGACTACAAAGCAGTATACTTGTCCTCGCCAGTTAGCACCACAGGTGACGTAAGTACGTAAATGGCAAATGGGCCTTTTTGTCAGTCTTACTGCATACTATAATATCTTTTTCCTTGTGACTGACTGGTAACCTTTTGTTGGATGGTGGAAAATTATTCCTTAGTGATCTTCTGCTGAGTGTGTGTTGTCAGGTAATATGAAGGGATTGAACTGAATCTATAAAAGCTGGAAATGAGCGGAATGATTTGTTCGCCTGCTGCACAAACTTCTGTATGTGAAGTGGGGTTCAAACTCGTGACTTAATGGTTGATAGTCATCTTCCTAAGCCACTAAGACAGAGCTCCATACTTCAGAGAAGAGTATTTGATGAACTTTATCATCACTTTAGAAAAATAAACCGATTAGTACTCGCAAAAGCATCTCCAATAGGTTTAGACTTCGAATTTCAATGTTGTTCGGTTTGTACAAATGCTCCAATTTTGTACTAATCAGTTGTATGAATTTATTTGTTACCATGGCATTGTTAAATGACAGTGCTAGATGCTGAATTCAGTTTAATACAAGGAAGTCTAGGGAGTAGCTGATCTGATTTATATGAGAGACTCCATCATGTGATAAATTGCCATAGTCAACATCACAGTTATATACTTGCCGGATGATATGATTCTGCCCGCCAGAGTGACCTATGAGTTTGGATGGATTCTAGAGGATTTTACCAGTTGCATGTTGACTAATGCATATGATGTCTCAAGCTTATCCTTCATACTGTATACACCGCTAAGGTATTTACCGAGGACGAGTTATGGATGCAGACTCTGGATACAACAAATGCTTACAGCGATAGGATATACTACTTTTTATAAAGATTATAGCAATCTTATTCGACATGATGCATATGCTGGACCGATGAAAAGAGACTGGAAGATTTCGATTTATGTCTAATATCACACAAACTCGGAGATCTTAACAGGCAAAAACTAACAAGTTGACAAAAGAGGCAACGAAGATGGGACTTCAAGTGAATGTAGAGAAGACAAAGGTGATGAAGACAGCCAACCAACGCCACCAACAACAGCAACAAGCTCCAATCAACATCAACGGGAGAAACTTAAAGGAAGTAGTCTCTTTCACCTACCTATTGAGGCAGCATCGTTCCAACTACGGGTGGTGGCACAGATGAGGATGTTAAAACCAGGATCGGAAAAACAAGACAGGCTTTCATTAATCTGAAACTAATGTGGAGATCTTCTGCATTGCACTCGGCACAAAGAACAACATCCAGATTTTCAACACCAGTGTCAAGTCGGTGCTTCTATATGGTTCAGAAACTTGGCGTTTCATGAAAAGCATTTCCAACAAACTACACACATTTATCAACAACTGCCACCTACGCTGGCTCGTTACTGAAGATCAGCTGACCAGAAAGAATAAGCAATGAACCAACCAAGAAGCTATCGCTGAACAAATATGCAGAAGAAAGTGAAGATTTATTGAGCATACGCCGAGAAAGTCGATTGGGGACATCACACGACACGCCAGTCGCTCGAGTGGAATCCGAAGGCGAAACGACAAGTTGGGAGTCCGAGGCTAGGATGACATGGAAGAGATCATGTGAGGAAGAAATGGACGCTTGTGGGCAGTCGTGGCTCCAGGTCGAAAAGACTGCAGAGAACAGAGTACAATGGAGGCGTACTACTGAACCCTTATGTTCCACTAGTAACTCATGGGACAAAATAAACTGAGAATAATAATAATAATAATAATATTTATATTGCAGAACTATTGGAAACAAGGAGATAGAGACGAAGAAAGGAATGTTTATTAATGATATCTTGGTGCAGCAGTTATCAAATATTGTACACCTACAAAGATAGTCATTTGCATAATGTGCTTCATTTCCTCTTCTGCTTCTCTCTTGATTTTCGCTTGACGATTCTCTGGGCAGAATTCTTACCCATTGCTTATAATTCCCTATGATTTCTTCCACCCTCTCAACATATATACATACTACTTACATCCATTCTTATCAGCAACATCAACTACTCTCGTCTAACCGTCAACATTTTCGGCTTGCAACTATGTTGATCGTTTTGGTACTGTCTTCTCTTGGTGTTTGTGCAATGTTTCGTCTTTTTCCCACTGCTTCCATTTTCGAAGTAGGCTGGCATTGACTCTTTTCTTTTTGTCCTCTCCTCTGATGGTATAAATCAAACGCGTCTCTCGGCAACGATGTATGATCCTACTCATTTCGGGAGCAGTTTTCTTCTGCCATATTCACCTCCTAATGTATATCCTCGTTCTTTACATTTGACCTGATCTCCGACCTCAAACGATTCCCATTTATTTCCTTCTTACTGCTCGGAGTTTCAGCGTCAGCTTTCTGTTTCTGTTCCACATTTCTGATTGCCTGTTTTCGCTCCTTTCTCAATCTTGTCACGTTCCATGGCTGTTGTTCAGGTCAGGTCTTACTATGTATTGGGAGCTACGGTTTCCTGCCATACTTTAACTAGAACCATGACTTCTTGGTTGTTTCTTGTACCGAGGCACGATGAGCTAATACTATTAATGGCAGCCCCGTCTCTCAATTCGCTCCTTTTGAAGCCAGGGGGTCGAACCCAGGACATATCACCTCGTGTTCTTTCGCCTTTACTAATACCGAAATTTTACACATCTCTGGCAAACGTGTGTAACATCATTCCTATTACATGTATTGGATGCTGATTCCATAAACAAAGACTGCGTAACTAATCTCTCTCTCTCTCTCTCTCTCTCTCTCTCTCTCTCTCTCTCTACACACACACACACACACACCTAAATACATTGGAGATTTGTGCGGATTTATTGATCTCAGGTTGGCATTCATCATGGAGCATTGGAAACCTGGGACAGTTCCGTGGTGTCAACCATATCGAACAGGAAGACAGTTAATCAACGACAACAGTGGATGGAGGCCATGCAATATCTTGGAATGATAGATGTAGGAAATAACGAACTTTGAATTCCGACCCAGTGGCTCAGAAACTGAAGATCCTGACTTCGATACCTGGTGCGGTTACGTGTGCTCACTGCAGAAGAGTCCCATACAAGGATGACATAGCTGGCTAGTGTTCCCAAGTCCCCAATGTTCCTCCAACTAAGTGTAATTGCTTTATCCTACCCTAACGTATGGTTGTATCTTAATCAATTAAGAAACATTATGCAATTCCTTTACCGATATCCTGAACTGCAATGAAAACTGAATTTTAATTTGGAGGTTTGTGGGAATTTCATTGACTTCAAGGTAACATTCATAACGGACTGACATCAATTGGAGAAATAATGAAAATGTAACACTACTCGACAGTTGGTTATTCCTAGTAGAACACTTCCCAATAGAAATATAAAGTACTCAAAGAGAGAAAGGAAGAATGACAAAATGGTGAGATTCGGTATCGCGTTAAGATCAGGATGATGTGTATGGGGGTACATCTGCACCATTGACTTCGGTTCTCAGTCATATCACCTAGAGTCAGTCTCCAACCACTTGTTTCTCTTGTCTCACCTACCTCAGCTGGCTAATCTGCGTCGCCACACATGGCTCATACCAACAGTCAAACACTTCATACATCGATGCTATGTTTTATTCTAGCCGAAAGCCAACAGCCTTTCTCCAGTCTGAACCTACTGCTTCGGTCAACATTGTGTGACGAGGCAGACAGCCACTACGCATACGTAACACATGTCCCTGTTAGCCAGCCAGCCAGCCAGCCAGCCATCTCAGTCGATGAAGGTTGACGACCACGTCAACTGACTTACCTCTCCTTCCTCCCTGAAGCTCTACAACTGACTTCTGCGTTACTCACGTGGTGTGGTGACACCAAGGAATACGGCCTATACTACGAAGGCAACGGTGGTAAAACACCTGAAACATTCTCATGTCTTCCACCTTGAATGGCCATGTTTCACAGCCATACAGTAGAACAGACCGACTGCCTTGCAGTACACGCGACCCTTAATAGACAATCGGATGTCACGGCAGCACCACAGATGGCGTAATTTGGCAAAAGCCAGTCGAGTCTTTTGTATTTGTGCAGAGATTTCATCGGCCACTGAGCCACCATGACAGGGCTGATCCCACTTCCCAGGTAGGTGAAGTGGTCAGCATACTCAACCACTATACTTTCTATCGTTAGCCAAGGCACCGTTGAAGGCCAATCGTGGAGCAACAATTTGCATTTGGGTGATGAGAAACATATCCCAAACATCCTCAGTGTCCAAAAGACTGCATCTTGTCAGCGTCTTCACCTAACAGGACTATGTCATCTTCATATTCTAGGTCTAACGAAAGTTCTGCGATTAGGTCAACCTCTGTGTAGTCAGGTGACGAGAGGGAGAGCTCCATAAGAATTTCTATGATAAAATTGAATAAGAATAGAGAGAGTAGGCACCCTTGACGGACATCACTCGACGAGTACAGCTCCCTGGACATCTCTCCATAGACTCTAACATGTCCACAAGTGTTCGAGTAGAGAGCGTTCAGTACTTATTCGGCACGCCTTTCAGTGAGAGACATTGTCATAAGACTTCTCGATCAACGGAGTGGAATGCCGCCTTCAGGTCGGTTGTCGGTAAGTGTACCTGTATTCCAGAAGGATATCGCACAAACAGCATATACATTTACTATAATACCTTTTTCACAAACATTTTCAGCATTTATTTATAAAGAAAGCGTAAAAAAAAAATGTCACTAACTTACCTAATTTATTTGATTGATTTTACAGACATTACTTTATTCATTTGAATGACATGGTTAGCTTGTGATGTTGTTGCTTTACGTAGAGTATTGCTTCGACTATTACCGGTCATATCAGTTTCACGAATAGGTATATGAGAAACTTGTTCATTTGAATGCAATGAAAGACATGGTTGTGAATCACGTAAAGAATAACATTTTGAATTTTCTACTATACGTCTTTGATACTGACATCTATCAATTTGAATTGGTTGATTTTCTCTAACTGATAAAGTCATAAGACGTGATTGATAAGGATTACCTGAATTTGATCGTAAAGTATCATTATGATTAAAGTATACATTACTAACAGATCCTTTTGGATTTTTTCTATTCCCTTTCGGTAATTGTAATGATAAACGTGGAGTTAAAAGACTATCATGAGATGAAATATTTGATTTTTGATATTTTAATTGTTCACCTTTTGAAGTAGTTGAAGTAGAAGTTGAAAAGTAGGAAGAAGAGGCAGAATTATACTTTTTTTGACTATTCAATGTTTCATGATTATCTAGTGTTGTTAAATTGACAATTGAATGACTTTTTAATGCAATAGCATTTTTACATGCTATTAGTCGTGTAGCCATTTCTTTTGGAAGATATGATAATTCTGTTATTTATTAGATCAAAGAATAAAAACACCACGAAACATTAACATTCAATCAGTAGATAGGTAACACATATCAAAGATAATAATACGTAAAACGTTTTATTCATCTCCCCTTTTAACTGGATCCATGTATGATTCAGTTCCCAAACTTCTAATCAGCCAGATTAGAGTGATTTAAATACTACAACAGACGGACCATTTCGCTTGTTCGGGAGTCAAGCTCACCAGTATGTATAGTCCCTTACTACTAATCATCAAAAGCATTTTCAACAAACTACAGATATTCATCAACAACTGCCGCCTACGCTGACTTGTTACTGAAGCTCAAATGGATTGCCAGAAAGAATAAGCCGCAAGAAACTCTGGCTGGCTGGTAACGAACCAACCAAGAAGCTATCACCCAACAAATATGCAGTGGAATAAAATGGGGATGGATTGGATTGGGCATAAACTGAGAAGGCTGACTGGGGACATCACGCGCCAAGCACTCGAGTGGAATCCTTAGGGGAAACGACGAGTTGGACATCCGAGGCAAGGGTGACATGAAGGAGATCATATGAGGAAGAAATGAGAGCTTCTGGACAGTCGTGGAGCCAGGTTGAAAAGATTGCAGAGAACAGAGTGTAATGGAGACGTGCTACTGAAGCCCTATGTTCCACTAGGAACCCAAAGGATAAATAATAATAACTACTCAATTCGTTCATTAGTAGTATAAATAATGTCATGGAGTGTATGAGAATCGAATGTGTGCAGCGAAATCCTAGTTATCATGTACTTCGAATCACTTCTCAACATCTATTCCATTACTCAATTCATAACGACAGATACATAAGGTAACATGGAACCTGTACAAGAGAAATAGAGAGATGGATGCTTATGATATTACTCAAAGAATGAATAGATCTGTGATATTGTGACCAGTTTTGACCCTTTCATAAAGAGATTCCGAAGATCAAAACAGGCTCCCAATAACAGTTAAAAACTTCATGAATTGTTGCCACGATTGAATCTTCCCACAATATCATCAACCGACATACACCTAACTTATCTTAACCTCGACATCGCTTATACACTGACTTTATCATAACGCATGCAGTGCTATAAAGACAATAATACCTATAAACCCATAAGTTTTCCATATAATCGACTATCATCGACCACGTCTTATAGCCATACAATGAGTATGTCGAGAAGTCTGTTGCACGGCATTTTCAAGCTGTACAGTCGTATTTATACCAGGTAAAGTGACAGATAATTGCACTGAAAAGGGAGTTACTCAGTCAATATGCAAAATATACAATCGGTGTAGGTGGTGGTATTTTGTTCAAGTGGAAGGAATAGAAAATGGGTCACCGAATAAGGAGGAACGAATTGATAACAAGTGATAAGAGATAAGAGACACATGTTGTCTGAGAATTGTAAGACGGTGATAATTTGGCTGAAACACGCAAAATATGTCAATGAATAAGGAATGAATTGATATTCAGTAGTGAAATATGGGTCAAGTGTTGTCAATGAAGAGGAAATTGGTTATAATGATGATGATGATGATGATAATCGAAGAGAAGTATACCAAAGTGAAGTGAAGTGAAATGAGGGCCAAGGTGTAGAGAGTATGGTTTCACAAAACGTTTTTGGATGCAAAGTTTCAGTTTTTGTTCATGTATAGCTAATGCTTCAGCTATATGCATAAGTGGTGGAAGCATGTAAACCTTTGGAGTAGTTCAACTTAACTTTGTAAATTATTTTAAAGGATGAATCTTGAGGTGCTGAATAACGACCTAATTCAACAAGGTGTTCACGTATGGATGAAGTGATTTTCCTTTGCTCGCCTCTAGTAAGCCAAACCCGGTAGTGTTCAGCAACACGAAAACTTACAGTCTAACGACATGACATATCTTCATTGATTTCGATACATGTTAATGAACACAATCACGACCTCCACTGGGACATATAGGATATACTACAACAAGTAAGCTCAGAAACTACAACAGAGTTCCTGGAAGTATCGTACCTCAATCAACTGGCAGTTAACAGACACCTGGGCAATCAGCGGATGTACGGTCTACTATAAGAAGGGATTAGTCAACTGAAAATCAATCAACCAATTCAATAATCATACATCAAGTCAAGGGAATAGGTCAAACAATATCAACTTTTGATAAAGAAAAAAAAAGGGAATAATCAACCTCCTACTTGAAAGTCAGCTTTGCTCACTACTTTGCCTATATGAAGTGAAATCGACAACTTTTGACGAAACTAATTCGTTGCATAATCAGAACTGCATTCAGTTGGTGTATCGATAAAGATTACAAATAGGCATTCATGAGAGCTACCACCCTTCATAGTCCTTAAACACTCCAATTAGTCGAAAAGTGCATAGACAACGGTCAACTGATATCCGGTTAAGAAGTGTCCTATCAGCTCTACAAACTCAATACTAATACCAACAAGCTCACGGAAATGAGTCATCGAATTTTCGGAAAATAAGAAGATGACTTTGTCAGATTATTCAAATTGGTCAGGTGAAGTGAAGTTGTAAGTTACACTTGGGTCCTGTATGTATAATCTCAGAAACACACCCATACATTCCAGGTCCAAGTGTTAAACTTTTATAGAGAATTCTTGTTTGATTTCACATTGACTTAAGACATTGAATACTCCATCATATGGTTGATATTGACCGACTAATCACACCATGAAATCTGAAGTCTTCTTGCGCAACCGTCGAACTCGATAAACGTATATCTGAATGATATAAGTTAGATGGCCTTCTAAGGAGTTGAAGGCGTAATCAGAGAATCTTACAATCAGCTACATAAAGTCCTAGAGTATAACAAAGTACAGCAGAGTATTCAGCAATCCGTTCCAAATCGATTTACAAAGTAGCCTAGCGATAATCCATCCATCAGTACAGCTCTGCCTTGAAAATCCCCACTACTCTGAGTTATTTATACTATAACAGTACTTCTTTTTCGTCTTATTGCTATCCACCGAATCTCTTTGAGACAACTTGGTTCATAAAACCATTGCGATATTTTCAAGTCTGATAACTATGCCAATGTGCAGTAACTGCCAGTTAGATCATGCAACCAATCAACCAATCGATATCAACATAGGATACAAAGATATCAACTCTACAACGGCACAAGTTACCATAACTGATATCAGCACATTAAGTAACAAAGCGATAAGATGCAAGATGAAGAAAAGTCAGTCAGAGGATGTGGAACCGAGTAGTCTGCATCGCCTGGCTTTACCAGGTTCAAACCAACAAAGATTTAATTCACTGATACCATGCTTCAGTCTCACTGATCCGACTCTTGCTCTAATCTGAACCGACTTCAGCTAACATTGAGCGAAGAGGCAGACAGTGAATAGCCATGCATAATACATGTTAAAGCCAGCCAGCCATCTGAGTCAATGAAGGTTCACAACCGTACCAATTGACTTACATCGCCTGCCTCAAACTCTACACCTCACTTCTGCATTACTCACATGGTGACACAACGACACATGGTCTATGCTACGAAGACAACAGTGTTCGAACATCTGAAGCATTCGCATGTTCTCTATCTTTAATGGTCATGTTTCACAGTCATACAGTAGAATAAAGCCAACTGCAGCACAGTACACTTGACCCTTGAGATAATACAATTCATTTTTTGGCACAAATTAACTATACACACATTCACCTGTTTGCAAATAGACAAAAAGAGAAACACACTTCGCCAAGATGATCCTACTAATATCACAAATAAAACAAAACTTCAACAAAAACAGTACTTAGATAAGCGAAGTGTTCACTTCCTTTTCTAATGTTAACTAATCGTGAGAATTTATTGTATAACAACAGTCCTTAAACCATTAAAAAGAGGTTTCCGACTTCATCATTCTCTTCCTTTTAATGAGAATAAATAAAACAAGGTTGCCGCCTACCATCACCGATCATCTTCCTTATTCTGGTCAACTCAACTCAACTCGACTCGACTCGACTCGACTCGACCCGACTGGATCATGCAACAAACTACCACGAGCGACAAGATGAGCATACTCTCGCTGTTCGACCAATCAATACATCCTACAACATTCAAATTTCGACAATCATCATTCATGTCTGATGTCTTGTCACACAAACTCGAAGATATACAAGTCAAAACCAACAAGTTGGCAGAACAGGTAGGGCAGCCAACGAAGACGCCAATTCCTTCTCGTGGATGCAGAGAAGACACAGGTGATGAAGATACCACCTAACCAACAACAACAACAACAACAAGCACCAATCACCATCAACGGGAAAAATCTTAACGAAGTTGTCTCTTTCCTTTCACCTACTCTCACCTACCTACCTAGGAGGCAGCATACTTTCAACTACAGACACCACACACACACACACACACACACACACACACACAGATGACAATCTCAAAGTCAGACACGATCGCAAACACAGCAACACAGAACTTCCTTCATTAATCTCAAATCAATGTGCAGGTCTACTCCACTCAGCATCTCGAACAACATGTGCATTTTAAACACCAAGTCAGTCAGTACTTCTATGACATGGTTCACAGATATCGTACATTACGAAAAGCATTCACAACAAACTACAGACATCACACATCAACACCTACCTTTAAACTCTTCTTCTCACACTAACCATAGTAACAGACAATAAATAACATACATAGTAAGTATTTCTTACACTTACCTCCACACTCAAGATGGAGATCACATCATCACAAAGAATAAGCAACAATCAACTCTGGTCTCACAACGAACCAACCAACTAACCAACAACCTGTCACCCAACAAATATACAGAACAAAGTGGAGATAAATTGGACATACACTGAGAAGCCCGTTTGGGCACATCAAGTGCCATGTCAGGCCCTCCAGTGGAACCCAAAGGGGAAACGACGAGTTAGTTGGGTGTCCGAGGGTGACATGGAGGAGATGGTGTGAAGAAGAAATTAAAGCCCGTGGGCAGTCATGGACGCAGGTTCGAAAGACTGAAGAGAAGAGAGTGAAGTGGCGACGTGCTCCTGAAGCCCTATGTTCCACTAGGAACCCAAAGGATAAATAATAGTAATAAAATAATCCTATCAACTGTAAATAATATCACAGCTGAAGTAAGATCAACAGTGTCGTTGCCTTTATGAACTGATATGATGAGAGGTGTTGAATGGAACTCTTGGAGTTGCATACAGTATTCAGAAAGTGACCCTTTTAAATAACTAACTACATTAGTGTAATCATCATTGTAGTACCTCAGACTTCTAGTGAAATGAACTCAACAACTCTATGCACATTTGTGTAACAGACAATGAGTTACACTTATTGTCTAAGGGGGGGGGGGGGGAATATTACTACCTATCTAAAAATAGGAAGTTGGGTTGGAATCCATGACATACAGGTTGGAAACCAAATGCCTAGACAAATGAGCAACATGTGCCATATAGATCACAAGTATCGTATTTTTTATACTGCGTGATAGTTGAAGGCGAGATGGAAATTTCGATCGCAGCCAGATCTGAACCAGCGACCACCAGGTTTCCGGCTACGAAGTTCGACTGCTGACCATATTTCGATTTCACTTCAATCACCAAGGATTGTGCCTGACTACTATATGAATTCGTGACGCTTTACTATCGTCTGATGGTATTCACACTGGTCAGCAGCCGTACCTCACACCTCATTTGGGGTAGAGTATCAGGTCAGAAACCTGATGGTCGCTGGTTTGAATCCGGCCCCAGTCTAAATTTTCATCCCACCTGCAATCACTACCGAGTGTCAATACTAATCTACCAAACCACAGCTATCTCAGATATTTGAAATGATGCGGTGTTTTTACTGGTGGAAATTTGTGTTAACTTGATGTACTGAACAGCTTCTTCGTCGTACGTTCGGTCTCAAAATATATCTATCGCCATTCTTCCTAACCGCCAACTCTTCACTGTTTCTTGAACTTAAGATCCGAAACATCAAGCTGTGAGTTAGATATGTACCAATACTTGACTATTCTACTCCGTTCCTACTATCAAATGAAACAGTTTATCTTACTCTTCATCGTGTAATGTTTATTACGGACATTGAATAACACTCGAACCGTTTTAGGAAAAAACATTATGTACACTTCCATCATATCAGTGTGTGGTTACCCTTTTGCCAGATCATCTCAGGTGATATTGTAACCAAAGTGATTTGTTTTCAGCCTTATGTTGGTCGAATCAACTGATCTGCTCTCATCAGAATCGTAAATGAACAGATAATTTGTCTATTAGTTCTCCATGTACTTATAATTTTATGCACACTTGTATCTTTTTTATGCGTTCAGCTTTACACTACTTACTAACAATAAGTAGTGTGATTCATATTACACAATGTTATATACCACGTTTCATGATTTTATTGTGCTACCTTCAGTTATTTCTCTGATACTCTATCTTTCCTTGAACATCATTTTATCTTGAACTGCTTAACTTGCCCTGTGAATCCGCGCGTTTCTCACAGTTTTCACTTGTTTCACTGTCGTTTATACTGCTGATACACTATATAAGGCGCTTTTAACGAAACAACTAACGACCCTAGGTCTTCCTTTTAGTTCATTAGCTAATGTTCTCTAGTAAATAAAGTACCATACTTCAGAAAAATTCTATGTTACGAATTCTACACGTATACTGGGTATTTGCTTGAAGAATACTTGAGTCTTTTTTCTCTTGAATATTCTGGAAACAATTCGAACTGAAATAGTGGTTACAAACTAGATGAAAATGGATCCAAACTATTATTGCTGCACTAATTGATCAATAATCAGTGGTTGGAAGAAGAATTCTTAGATCGATGAAGTCATACATCGACATTTCCGTGCACCATGGCTAGAGTGAAAAGTGTTTATTACGCTCTACCCAGCATTTACGGTAATAACAATAATAATAATAATAACTTCACATAGCATGACGAATATCATTACCTTCTTCAGTAAACTGATTAACAAAGCTTGGTGCTGGTTTACCACTTGGTAAATGACCAGTTGCATCCGCTGGATGACCAGGTGGTGGTAAGATAAGATCACTGAAGAAACAACATCCCAATATCTCAGAAGCAGTCATACGTACTTTCGGGTCGTAGACTAACAACTTCTGGAGTATATAGAATGCTGTATCTGTACTACGATTTCGAATTAACTAAAATAAAAAGTAAACAAAAGTTGCTATCCATCATCACAACTTTAGTACAAGTAAATGTTACATTAAACATGAATGCAACAGATTAAAATCATTTCGCTTTCATACCATCGAGGTTGGAAACTCCAGTAACATTTTAACATGGTAGGAAGTCCTGTCCCACCTAGATTTTGTATGTGTCAACACTCTTCAGCAAGGGAACTGACGTCCCCTCTGAGATGACAGATGAGGCAACGAGTACGATAGATGATGAAAGTAATAAGAAAAGTTGTGATTTTTTCCTAGACGTGAAGTCATCGAATGTTTACTTAACAAGTGAAAAGAAGGTATTGATATCGAGAGATGATTGAAAATGAAGTGTAAAACTAGAATGCGGTAGGATTCGAACCAGAGAACTCTGAGTTATTGGCCTTGGGTCGGGTATGCCAGTTGGTAAAGCATGGGGTCGATGGTAGTAAAATCTTCCAGGCATTACTGAACAGCCGTTTCGCTCTAGCATAGGACTCCACAGCAGTGCGCACCTATAAACCTGCTCTCTAGGATCGAATCTACAACCCTTAGGTTTTACGACCAACAGTACACCATTAACCCACTGAGTCGGAATCTAATAGTTGACATTTTCCTACTTCTGTCAGTTCACCATGGATAACAACTTGAAATCAATACATAAATCTCTAAAACATCTACGAAATGAATGAAAAACTGTTCAGTCCTTATTGATGACTTGCTTCGAGAAGTGATTTCTGAAGTTTTAATGACAAGTTGTGATTGGTGGCGCATTACCAAGTTGGACGTTACGATAGGTACTCAAAGGTGGTATCCCATGAAGGTTGCGCCATGTAGGGAGTTGAGAGAACCAGTGATTCAACGACAGTGTTCGCCACGAAACCTGACGGCTAAGTTCGACCCCATGTAGGTGAGGTCATGAATACGCACCATTGGGGAGTCCCTAACTACGATGAACCAACTATCCAGTACTAGCACGTTCTCAAAGCTTCTTCAACTGATGTCAGTCCATGACGAATACCAAATTGAATTTCAGTTTTCATTATAGATCAGAAGATTGGTAAACGAATTACGTAATGTATGTCAATGCACCAAGGTATAGCCATACAACAGAGTGGGATAAAACAACTGTACTTAACTCCATTATAGTTAGTTGAGGAGAGGAAATGATTACGCAATCTTTGTTCATCAAAAATCAACATATGTCGGGGGGGGATGATGCAATATACTTATGCCAGAGACGTGAAACATTGGATTATTACCAGAAACAAAGAATATGAGATGATAGAACTATGATAATTAAGTGTCGAAAGTTGTGTCATTACACGGATACGACCATACTTAAAACGTAATGAAAGTAAACCATACTGTATCAGCATATCCTATATCAATAACAAATTCAATATGGAACTATACAAACATTATCTTAAGGTTGTCGGGTTACCTTGATATGGCTGTGGACTATTAACCATGTTCGAAAGGTTATCAAGTAAGCAGTAATACTGTTTCATTGTGTATCATCAGAAACTTGGCGCGTTACGAAAGGGATTCCCAACAAACTACAGACATTCATCAACAACTGCCACCTACGCTGGCTCGTTACTGAAGATCAGATGGCCAGGATAACAAGAATAAGCAACAACGAACTCACTCTGGGAACGAACCAACCAGGAACCTATCACTCAACAAATATGCAGGGGAAGAGAGTGGAGATGGATTGAGCATGCACTGAGAAGGCTGACTGGGGACATCATGCGCCAGGCCAGTCGCTCGAGTGGAACCCAAAGGGGAAACGACAAGTTAGTTGGGTGTCCGAGGGTGACATGGAGGAGATCGTGTGAGGAAGAAATCAAAGCTTATAGGCAGTTGTGGAGCCAGGTTCAATAGACTAGAGAGAAGAGAGTGCAATGGAAACGTGCTACTTAAGCCCTATGTTCCACTGGGAACCCGAGGGACAAATAATAATAAACTGTGTGATACATCTGACAATTTCATCTAGCTAGCTTGTAAATCCCAAACAACAAACTTGGTAGTATGCTAATTTTAGTGTCCGTAAGTATGGTATGTGATTTGCACTATTGAAGTGCAAAGTATTTTTGCAAGATTGGCAGCAGCCAGCTTATGCCGGCGCTCACCCTTGGCTGTGAGTCAATGGAAATAGTTGAAAAGTTCTTTGTGTATCTGCGTTGTTGTGCATATCGAAAGCCAGGGCAGCACACGCCAATACGGGCGATCTTTGGAGCCATCATGAGGTTAATCTGACGACAAAAAGTCGTGTTTATAACGCTTCCGTGTGAGCGGTTCTGCTATACATCTGTGAAACCTATCCCTCCCAGAGGATATGTGAGGACTTTGTATGTCCTATCATCATTGTCTCCATATCCGGTGGAAAAGCATGATGTTTATCATTCAATAAGTTCAGTCATCTTGAAGCACTGGCTTAAGTGGCTTGGACATGTGTCACGCATGTCGTCTCAACAGCTTCCATTCCGTTCATTGTTTACTAACATTGGGACTGGATGGAAGAAGCGCAGAATGGTCAATGTATGACGTGACGCCGTGGAATGAAGGATAGTTATATCGCGTTACCATCTGTTGGTGGTATCCGAGAGATCGCACAACTCAGTGACTTCAGACCTTATCAGATATGGCTCAGAATAGAAACCAGTGACAGTCACGTTATAGCTTCCATGTTTGTGTTCCAATAAATAATAATTTTACAGTACCATTTCAACCATTACCGGACATAAGCGTAGACTGGAGGGCAATATGGGTTAGTCATGCTGCTCGATGAGGCATCCTGACAACAGCATTTACGGTTGACATAAAATTGAAATAAAAATATATCAGATTTCAGTATTCGTGGGTTCAGATGACTTCCGGTAAACAGTTAGTAGTTGATCCAATGGTTTGGTTATTCGTCGCGGGTTAACGGGCGACATGAATCGAGAACTAATATTCTGCAATCTTGTTTCAAAAATCACCACATCCTATACGATGATATGGGGATATAGAGAACAATGACTAGTCTGGAGAGCGACCAATCAGATTGTACTTTATGTCATCACGTCTACAATTAGACAGATAGATGGTGGACCAGCCAATCAATAGGATTATTTTAAACAGCAAACTAACCCTTTGTTTGATCTGTTCAATCTTTCGGACTGTAATACACCTTCCTACACGTCTATCGTATCTTCTCCATTAATTAGTCGAGTCAGGAATCAACTAGGAATTTGTTGAACGTTGGCGGCTGACACTCGATATATGTACATCGTTAGCGGTCATAGCACATAGCAGTTCCCAAACCATAACAGTGCCGACGAAATTGGGAAATGGCTTCTTCGAAGATGGACAATTTCCTCGAACAACAAATGAGGATTATCGAGATCATCTTCAAAGTGGATTTTGATGGTCAAGATAATTCCCAAAAGATATGTCCTCTACTTCGAAAACTTGGTCCATCTGAGCTCGACGAGTACTGCAATATGATTTCGCCGCAAAACATACTTGATCACACTTTCAACGCCACAGTCCCGGCAATGAATGACATGTCTGCAGAATATCAACGACTGGGCAACCTACAGCGTGAGACAAGTTTAACCCAATCCAAACGCCAGGACATTTCTGAAGTACATGCAGTTCGCCAAATATTTCATTCCTGTCCATCACCGTTCAGCCACACACATCCTGGCCTTATCTCGCCTATCCATCGGCCAAGTGAATCACGCCCAACCAACCGACCCTCACTCAAAGAAGACACCTTTATCGCCTTTCTAGTATTGTGGTCCCTGGCACTTCGTCAAATCTTGTCCACCTAAGCAACATCGATGCCAGGACTGTAGTGCTGCGGGCTATGAGAACGGTTTTTGCCGCCAACATACATAACGATGTATATAAAGGCCATCCTCCAGAGATCGCCGCAGATCTCGTTCCCGAACGGCTTATAGACCTGACGACCGAAAGAATATCGAGAAGACTACTGATCTCTAAGTAAACAAGGTGAAACTCCCTTTGCATCGTTTAGATAGATGCAAGAAAAAGACAGTGACGCCAAATAACATACTTTCGAAGACGGAGGTGATACGGAGATAGCGAGAAAAGCCTCACCTGGAGAGCGACCAATCAAAATGTCTTTTATGTCATCACGTCACACTTAGACAGACGGTGGATCAGCCAATCAATAGCCTTTCGACGCTAATACACGTCTATCATGTCTTCTCCATTAACTAGTCGGGTCGGGAATCCAACTAGGAATTTGTTGAACGCTGGTGGCTGATACTCGATATCTATGCATCATTAGCAGCCATAGCATATAGCAGTTTCCAAAACATAACACTATGCTTTATACATAATTTTTAAAAATTTTTTAGTTAAAAAATGAATTCAATCAGAACTGTAATTCTCCTCTTTCAATCATTTTACCTTTTCCCATGAACAACCTTGAATATTAGGAAAATTGAATTCACTGTATTGAGGATTCATTTCATGAACTTGTTCACGTGTTGGTGTACCAAGAACTTTAATAATTTCAACCAATTGATCAACTCCAGATTCACCTGGAAAAAGTGGTCGACCTAATAATAATTCACCGATAACACAACCAGCTGACCACATATCTGAATGAAATTGAACAAGAAAAAAGTGTATATAGACAGAAACAAGTAGGTGATATAATATAGCTTACTGTATGGAAGTTGGATTACGTTTGAATAGGGCTCACAGTGGCCAATAAAGGTGAATGCAAGTATTCAAGCTTTACAAGACGTCAAAGTAGGAATACATCTATGCAGTTGTGACCGATTTCCAGTCATGTCACCAAAACTCATCAATCATTGATTCCTATCGTCTCAGAGACTTCAACCTGACAGTCTACACCTTCCCACATGGTTCACAGCAACAGTCAGGAACTTCATCAACATGTGCCACTTCTTGTTCTGGTCACTCTGAACCCTATTCAAACCTAATCCAACTTCGATGCAGTAAGCTGTATTATATCAAAAGACTGATTGAGTGAAGATATGTATATTCTTCTTCAATTACGTCTTCATCTTGGGCTCTACACTAATATTGCATAGTTTTACAATTTAATCAAATTACCAATCATGTAGTGATGTTTCGGAAATGATCATGTAAATAATCAATAGAGTAACTGAGAAATTGGAAATATGAAGCAGGTCAATATATACACTCTTTTCGAGTCGTACCCCCTCCAATACAAAAGGAACCTAGTGAAATGCTTAGCATACTGTACCACAGCTATTTGCTCAGATGATACTATAAAGGAAGAGTCTGCCACCATCCGTGATCTGTTTAGTAGAAATGACTACCCAAACAAGTTTGTAACTAAGCACATGAATATTACGAGGGTTAAGACAACAATGCCAACAATTCCTAAGAAGCAAATCTTCTTGAAGCTGGAATTCAATAGTGACATTGCTAGTGAGAACATCACACAGCGCATAAAAAGAGTCTTGCATAAAGCATTCCAAGTCGCTAAATTATGTCTCATCCCCTAAAATCGCGCCGCGATTCAATGTGCAAAAAATTAAAACAAACTACCTGATTCTGTCACTTCCATGTGTATTTATTAATTCAACTACTCCTGTGCAGCTAGTTACATTGGGTGTAAAATGAGGCAGGACCATCGTCGAATTTCTGATCACTACCTATCATGACTAAACAATGGACAAATTAGAACAATAAACAGCGCCATACTTGCGCACCTAGTTGCCATGGGACATCATGTGGATGTTAGAAAAGCTTTCAAAATTATTCATCATATTCCAATTAATTTACCATCTGGATTACGCACTTACTTACTTCACACAGGAGGGGCAATTCCAACCCACCTTTACAAATCTAACCTTTTTTTATTCAACATAAGTTTGTTCAACCACTCTCATTACCGTGATGTAACTCTTAGATTTACTTTGTACACCTCTTCCCCTACTTGTTTCTACCAATACTCATCTGTTCTCATGTTATTACGTAGTCGCTCATTGTGAATGACTGAATACTCATCAAAAGTCACTTCATTTACCTAAGAAAAACTTGCTTCATAATTCCAATGTCTTAGTTACTCTATTGATTATTTACATGATCATTTCCGAAACATCACTACATGATTGGTAATTTGATTAAATTGTAAAACTATGCAATATTAGTGTAGAGCCCAAGATGAAGACGTAATTGAAGAAGAATATACATATCTTCACTCAATCAGTCTTTTGATATAATACAGCTTACTGCATCGAAGTTGGATTAGGTTTGAATAGGGTTCAGAGTGACCAGAACAAGAAGTGGCACATGTTGATGAAGTTCCTGACTGTTGCTGTGAACCATGTGGGAAGGTGTAGACTGTCAGGTTGAAGTCTCTGAGACGATAGGAATCAATGATTGATGAGTTTTGGTGACATGACTGGAAATCGGTCACAACTGCATGGATGTATTCCTACTTTGACGTCTTGTAAAGCTTGAATACTTGCATTCACCTTTATCTTCAAATTGTTTATTCACTCATACAACTTTGTCTACTACAGTGAATTGTGGCCAGTTGACTAGATGCATTTGTGTATGAGGTTCTACGCTGATTTTGTCTATCTGCTTACTGCATAAAAGCGATAGTCTACCATCGATCCTTTTAAATGGTGGCTCGTACCAAAGCTATACATTCACGTGAATCGTCGATATTGGTCAAACATTTCATCCTATTTCCGAAGTTATCGCCCACAGAAACAAGTGACTGTCAGGATAAAATTGTATGGAATAGTCACCGTAGTTAGTATGAACACATATTGCTCATCGACTTAAGTATGCAACTTTCAAGGCATGTCTCAGGTTTGAATACCAATATTATCTCTACTACAGTCAAGCTGATTGCGTAGTATCACAAGTTCTTATATATTCAGTATGTTTCATAGCCTAGTACATATACATTCACATCCCGTTGAATTGTATTTTTCAGTATATGATGTTGCAGTTACTGGTAGGATGTATTTCAAATTTGCTCAATCTGTCTACTTCATTCAAGTCACTTTCACTAGTGTCACAGTGACAACTACTTATAATGATGCATTTAAGTAGTATGCATACCAACCTGGAAAGTGATAATGATTGGCTGGTGACACTTCCAACAGAACAAATAAACAAACTTGTACAAAAATATCAACGATAAGAACAGTGCGCAGTGAGATGCAGAACAAGAGATTGTTTGCAATTAAAAACCACCATTATGAGTAGTACTTTCTCAATATCAACTGCTCTCCATTGCACTTCTCTTCACAGTATAACTCTTCTTGAATATGTTATCACGGTAACAAAGTGATGCTTTGAATCAAGTAGTTAGACTGATAATTGGAAAGTACTATAACTCTAACACTTTTCTCAATATAACACCACTTGCCTATGTTGCAACGTTACTCACACTTACTGCCCGCAAAATGAAATGTATGTAAGACGTGATATAATGCTTTGTTTATTGTAGAGAAATCCATTGCTAACACCGTTCAACGGATACCATGACGTATGCAACGGTGATTTCTAGTCGTTCTTTTTAACGAGCTTATTCTACTACATAACACACAAATAGTTTAGCGAATAGATTTGTGCGAACTCTACACAAGATACTAAAGCTGTTTTCTGCACTTACCGGGTGGTCATAATCGGCCAAATGTCCTAGAATGGAGCTGTGAACTGTTCTCCTTTCTCCATTGTAGAACCAGGCTGGCATGTGTTCAGAAATTCGCTTGGAAAGCGAACGCTGAATACGGCCGATATACCTTACTCCATATGAACAGGTGGAGTTATTTATGAGGATGTAGTCGAGCTGTGCACTTTCTGCCCAATCACTCATTGTTATTCTTACGTACATAGGTAAGCCTACGAAAACAAATCATTCGATATTAGGGAAAACACACGATGAGGGCCACCAGACTCCGGTGAAGAGAAAGCGGTAGGTAACTCCAAACGAGCAAGGGCCATAGCTCCAGATGGACTAGTTCATGAGGTACATAAGAATGGTGGTCAAGGCATTTTAGTCAGGCAAACTGGTGTATTAATTACTGTATAGTGTCAAATAAGATCTAGTCTAACTGGTCGAAATCACTGGTTATTCCAGTCTTCAAGAGATGCGAGAAGCTCTCTTATGAGGACACCCAGACACCCTTCAGGTTCAGCCGAGAGTGTATCGACCGAATATTCACAATGCACCAGGTTCTGGAAAACAGACAAGCTTACCAAGGCTCGACAATAGCTGCATTTCTCGACCTAAAGGCGCATTCCACTCCATTGATCAGGAAGTCTTATAGCAATGTCGCACAATCCAAGGGGTACCAAGAAAATACATCACCTTACCAAAAGCTCTTTACTCGAACAACTGCGGGTGTGTTATAGCCTATGGTGAGATAGAGCGTGAGTTGTGTACGTCAAGTGGTGTCCGTCAAGAATGCCCACTCTCTCCATTCCCATTCAATCTTATCAAAGATGTTCTTATGAAGGTCTCCCACTCATCATCTGACTGAACATGCATCCACTTGATCATAGGAAAAATTTTCAGAGACCTAGAATACGCAGATGACACCGGAAAGATCTAGACTCTTCTGGACACCTTAAGTGACAATCTGAGAATGCTTGGGATGCGTTTCTCACCACCCAAATGATCCAGGACTCGTCTTCAACGTTACCTTGGCTAACTATACGGAGGGAAATAGTTCAGTGTATTGACCATTACTACACTCACCTGGAAAGTTGGATCTACTCCGGTGACCCAGTGACCAACGAAATCTCGGTACATATACAAAATGCTCAACTGGCTTCTGACAAATTACGCCACCTGTGTGATACTGCCTCGTTATCCAATTGTCGATTAAGGGTCGAGTGTACTGTGATGCAGTTCTTCCTCTTCTACAATAAGGCTGTGAAACATGGCCGTCAAACGTAGAAGATATGAGAAGGCTTCGTGTGTTCGACCACTGTTGCCTTCGTAGCATAGACCATGTGTCGTGGTGCCACTATGTGAGTAATGCAGAAGTGAGGTGTAGAGTTTTAGGGGGAGGGAGAAGAGGTGAGTGTCAGTTGACGTGGTTGTGAACTTTCATCGACTGAGATGGCTGGCTGGCTGGCTGGCTGGCTGGCTGGCTGGCTGGCTGGCTGGCTGGCTGGCTGGCTGGCTGGCTGGCTGGCTGGCTGGCTGGCTGGCTGGCTGGCTGGCTGGCTGGCTGGCTGGCTGGCTGGCTGGCTGGCTGGCTGGAACATGTATTACGCATGGCTAGTCACTGTCTGCCTCTTCGCTCAATGTTAGCTGAAGTAGATTCAGGCTAGAGAGAGGGTCGGGTCAGTCAGACAGAAGCATGGTATCAGTGAATGAAATCTTTGACTGTTGGTTTGAAGCAGGTAGAGCCAGGAGATGGAGACTAGCCGGTTGGGATCCGCCTGACAAGAGAAACCAGTGGTTGGAGACTCTAAGTGACGATGTCCCAGAATCAACGTCAGTGGCGGAGATGCATATACACATTTCCCTCATCATAACCGCTATACTTAATCTCATCATCGTCTCACTCTCCCTTCCTCTATTTTACTACTTTCTACTTCTACTTCATTTGACTGACCTTTCTTTCCT